TAACGTTAACGTACGTAACGTAACGTAACGTAACGTAACGTAACGTAACGTAACGTTAACGTTAACGTTAACGTTAACGTAACGTACGTACGTACGTACGACAGAGAGAGAGAGAGGNGGGGGGGGGGGGGGGTTTATCCCTCAGATCTGCTAAGGCTACGGGTTTACTTCCCATGTGCCATGTGTGCATATACTGCTAGCTATAGTAGTCTACCAAAGGTCTATTGGAGTCTCGTGACGGGTGTGGTCGGAATACACCAGGTAGAGTTAAATTTAGGTTAATTAGAGTTTATCGGAGGGACCTGATAAACTTAGTTTTACCGTATATTAGAATCGGTTCATGAATCATCAATTAGAAAGGTCAACGATTATAGAATCGGCTCATGACTCATCAATTAGAGGAGTCAGTGATTATAAAGACACTAATAAAAGAAAAACGTCTCCATCTCTATGTGGGGAGAACGTTGAGAAAAGTTATCTTTCGCGTGTTCCTACGACATTTTTAACTTACAATAGATGTTGTTAGTTTATTAGCAATCAGGAAATAGCTACTATACAAGACATAGACAGTAGCTGTTAGATTGTTTTTAGTAATAGAACTAAAATAGAAAGGGACATCGAGAACATTAGGACTCAAAGATGTCGCAACAAAATGACGACATCTACCAAAATCTTCCCGTCAAAGAGGAGAATATCGGGTACTCTAGTAACGAAGCCAGTGTTACTATGCCACCTTTCCTGTCAAATAGCAGTAGTGAAGTGGAAGGAGAGTCGAGAGCGAATAGCCAGAATGACCGCTGGGAACCACCCAGGAGTTCCGAGGTGAACAGGAGTAGCTTCAGGATCAACAGAATCAACATGGCCAGACATATTGAGCGCTTTAGGTTGTCTATGCGGTTAACCAACGACATTTGGACCACAAGAACAAAGGCAAAAAAATGCACCCACGGTCGAATCCGACGAGGAAACCACACAGTCGAATACATCAAGGGCACAAGAACGACAAGACAGAGGACCAACCAGAAGACGCAGACATGTAGAGATGTTTAGGGAAAGGTGTTCGAGGTTGAAGGTTTGTAAGGTACGAGTATGAATGTGTAGTGATGTCGTGCGAAGTGTAAAGCCTGAACCCTGTCAAGAGGGGTAGTTAGGAAAAGGGGAGATTCAATAGGAACTATAGTAAAAGAGTATGGGAAGCGTACATGTCTAGGGCCGAGTCAGTTTATATTATGAGTTGGGTTTGCAAGAATGCGATATAGTTGGACGTTGACATATAACATACAAGATTTACAGTCTTACTCTATAATAGACGCGTTGTGATGTGGAAATGTCAGTCGATTTCTATGATCGAAGGCAACAGGAGGTGACCATGACACATTCAAAGCAAACGTTAATCATAGAATAAGTAGAGTTTACGGCTGTCGATACATACTACGAATACAAAAAGATAGTGAGCATCTTGCGCGAAGGGAACTTAGTAAGTCAGCTAAATCGATAGTTAGAAACTGGGCGACAGGTTACATGCGCATTTAATGGTTTCCTTGTACGCTACGGAATATGATAGTTTAGCCGATAGGTTTATAGCCTCCAACACGAATATACAGAAAGAGTCACATAGGATATTTATTACAAGGGTTACTTCAGAGGGTGGTAACGAAATCGAGCTAATTGAGACCCCGTGAGAAGGCGTTTACAGCCAATATTGAACGATGGTGCAGCCGTATAGGTTGTTGAGGAAATAAGATATTAGAGTGTACACAGAGAACTAAGAGGGAACTGGTGAGCCACATCAGGATCGTACATTATGTTCTAGAAAGTAACACAAGATGTGTGTGGTTAAAACGTATTTGATGTACCAGGGTCTTCAGGTCAAAAGTTGCATTTGGCTATAACTAGAGGGGGATGTTTGGGGGAGCGCAGAGTACATGTTATTTGTTGGAGAGTAAGTTTAGAGTGCGACATATGACGACATAACATAGACGATAGGAAGACACAACTCGACGACTGCAATGGCACATGACGAGACACAACGAGTAAAGGAAGCGAAGAAAAGGACCAAGTAGGGAGTTTAGGTGCTCTCGAAGGAGCGGAACCATACACCGAAGGTAGGAATGACTCCCCATCGGAGTAAGGGTAGACTACAATGATTTCAAGAGAAAGTATCCGACAATCGGGGTGTACCTCAGCAAGAGCTTCGACATAGGGAAAACAAGACAACAGACCGTGATCGTTGGATGGTGAGTTCAGGCCGAGACGCATCTATCACTCTGGGTGTGAGTTGAAATAGTCGAGAATGGGTCATCCCGTTTCATGACGTCAATCGTCGAGGTTTGATGCGTTCGAGGAATGGACTCTAGGGTTAATATGGGTATTTATACTAAATATATTTCGAGTTCGTTTGCCAACATATTAAAGACCTCCATTGAAATCAACTTCCTACACCATGTCCAACCCCCGCCAAAGTCGTCGACAGCGACATCTTAAATATGAACGTCGCAAGGAAGGCGATATTGGCGGTTGCGGCACTAAGCGTCGCCAGTCTAATCCGGACCGTACCAGGCAGCAACCCGAGCAGGATTCGGATGGGCACCAACAGGCGCGTCAAGAGGTTCGTCACTAGAGGATTGCTAACAGTAAGCAGACACCAACAGCACCCAGAGGTAAACCTAACTTACCGGAAGAGGACGTCGTATTCGACGCTGAGTCTATGGAGGTTTCCGACCTGCGTGCGGATCAGAATCAGGCCGTTACTGGTGAATATATAGCTAGTAACGGTCTGCCTTCTCGTTCGTCTTCGGAAAATTTCCGGCCCATCGTCCTCTAACAACGACCAACCACGTCTACCACTCAACAAGCGAAGACGTCATCGTCGGCGTACCAACAACAAGGGTGCGGTGCGTGAACAGGATTCTGCTCAGAAATTGACCTAGTTGATGGCGCAACAGCAGTCACTATTGGACAATAGTACGAACAAAGTCTTCGGCATACTTCTTCAGGGCGGCCCACACCCATACTTTCTACTAACGGGATACCTGACAGCACGCGCAAGCGTGAGCGCCCGTCATCGGGGAACGAGGACAACACGACGTTCCGTATTCACGGCCGTACTCGACCACATCATGGACTCGGGTATGAATCGCCAGTATCGGAAAGTCAACTGTCTGAGGATGAGGCCCAATCATTTCAAGATTTTGCGCGCGAACAGGCTCTAGCGAAGCAGAACCCTCATGGGGGTGAAGCGCTGAGGAACATGCATGATCGATTGAGCACATTGTTTGCCAACAGCAGCAGAGAAATTCGTTTGAGTAAGATACAGCGGGTGAATACGTGCGTACACCTAAACAACTAGAGAAGGATACCACCACACCTCTGCACACACTCGAAAAGTATTGAGAGAAGTCACCAAGCTCTACATGCACGCATACTACACCTTAGTGACGAGTTATGCCTAGCAATAGAAGATAAGAATACGGCTCGGGCCGATGCTCTCCGGGGAGCGATACAAACGCTTCGGGCTACGCTCAAGTCCAGACCGGTGGAGAAACGTTCAGTACCGTCACCACGCACATGGCCCGATTGGCCATCGAATAGATATCATCTGCGTGACATCATGGAGCGTAGTAA